AGTAGTAGTAGGAGTAGTAGTAGTAGTTGTAGTAGCAGTAGCAGCAGCAGTAGCAGTAGCAGTAGCAGTAGTAGTAGTGGTACTAGTACTAGTACTAGTACTAGTAGTCGTAGTAGTAGTAGTAGTAGTAGTAGTAGTAGTAGTAGTAGTAGTAGTAGCAGTAGTAGTAGTAGTAGAAGTAGGAGTAGGCGTAGTAATCGTGATAGTAGTACGAGTGGGCCGTACAAGTCTGAGAGAAAATAAGGGTTTATACATATATATGTATATATATACATATATGTGTATACATATATATATATACAAATATTGCATGATAGTTCTATATATATATATATATATATAACTATCAGGGTAGATACCTTTATACATATCAAAGGAGGCGAAAAAAAAACGTCAGTAGTACTAGCATTAGTAGTTGTCGCAGTAGGCGTAGCAGCAGTAGTAGCAGCAGCAGCAGTAGGAGTAGGCAATGTTGCTGTAGTCGTAGTCGTAGCAGTAGCAGTAGCAGTAGTAGTAGTAGTAGTAGTAGCCATAGTAGTAGTAGCAGTAATAATAATAGTAATAATAATAATAGCAGTAGTAGTAGTAGCAGCAGTAGTAGCAGTAGTAGTAGTAGCAGCAGCAGCAGCAGTAGCAGCAGCAATAGTAGTAGTACTCCTGTAAGAGTAGTTGTAGCATCAGGAGTATAAGTGGGAGACTCTGTGCTTTTGTGCTCGCCAGAAGCTTCTCTGAAGCTCCCACCATCAGTGGGAGCCTCAGAAGCACTGCAGGGGCCCTTTTACATACAGAAGCTCTTCAGAAGCTCCCAGAAGCTCTGCAGAGGTCCTTCAGAAGTCCTGCAGAGGCCTGCCAGAGGATCTTCAGAGGCCTGGCAAGGGGCCCTTCAAGGGCCCTTCACAGGGCCTGTTTCAGAGGCCCTTCTAGAGGCCTTTTCAGGGGGCCTTCAGAGGCTCTTCAGAAGCCCCTGACGGGCTCTTCAGAGGCTCTTCAAAAGGCTGCCAAGGATTCTGCAGAGGCCCTGGGGAGGCCGCAGAGGCTCTTCAGACGCTCTCAAAGGCTTTGCAGAGGCCCCCAAAGGCTCTTCAGAGAAGCTCTCCGAATGCTGTGCAGATGGCTTTCAACAACTCCCCAGAAGACCTTCAGAGGCCTTCAGAGGCTTCTCAGGGGCTCCCAAAAGGTTCCGAGACGCTCCTCCCAAAGGCGGTTTTCATTGTTCGCGAGAATTTCAAGCAAAGCATCGGTTCTACCCGGGAACGAACCGTCTAACCAGGGAACGCACCTCCGTGTTAGAAATGATCACCGGGTAACGAACCGTTCAACTGGGGTGCCGACCCTTCCATTGGGGAGGGATATATTATCTCGCTGCGACCATCCCCTGATTTCGGGCAGATTGATTGTTTCAATCCTGGTGTTTCCCTTGGTTCCGAGACCCCTGAGGGCCGCGGACTGAACAAACAATACATCGGATGTTGGGGTTGGGCATCAATCCTGAATCACGGATTGGGGGCTCATCTGTCGCACTCGCGATCCTGGGTTACTTTCTGCTGGGCAAGGGTCGGTGATGAGGCAGGGATGTGCCAGGGAAGGAGGGGGCCAGAGAGGCAGGGAGTCACCGAGGCCGCGAGGAGGGCACGAGGACAGCGCGTCCTCTCGCGCCCGCTCCTGCCCCTCAGATTTCGGCGACGCGCGAGAGCGCGACGGCCAGTCTTGGGGACAGCGAGGAATCAGCTCGGGATGGGAAGGCGGCCGCGGGGAGGGGGTCGAGATCCCCCACTCGGCCGCGACCCCATGGGTACGAGGCGGCCCTGCGCGGGTGCCCCGCGCGGACTCCAGGGGACCGCGCACCCGCGGGAGCGCGCCGCGGAGTCCAGACCGCGAAGGCAAGGATGTGGACGCCCCCGTCGCTCGCGGAAGACGGAGGCCCTCTTTTCCAACGTCGCCTTTGTCCCGCTCGGGCGGGCGGTCATGAAGGGTGGCCCACGTGGGGGGTGAAGAGAAGAGCCCTAAAGGGGCACTTTGGGGTCTTTGTTGGGGCCCAGAGGGGCCGTAAAGTGCCCCTTCAGGGCCCGCGGCCGAGCACTCCCGACCGCGACGCCGTGAATACGTACGTGCTTTCCGCCCACGATTTCCCCCTTCACTCCGGAGGGCGCTATCTACAGTGCCGTTTTTAATACATGCTCCGCGTGCGGATCATGTATTAAACATGCAGGGAGTTAGTATTAAAAACAACGATGAGTTCATGCATAAATTTGTTCATAAATTAATCATTTATCAAAATCCTATACTTCTTAAAAACGAAATCCGATGTATTAAAAACTGCCCTGTACACACCTACACGCTGGCACCGATCCTGGGCCCAGGATGGTCTCCGCCAAGATCGATGTAGGCAGAAAGTTGGCGTTCGTCCATGTCTGCCTTATCCCCTCCTCGGGTGTCGTTGGAGATGCCCCTCGCACGAGGTACTTCCCGGGCTCCTGCAGGAAGACCCCACGGCTTACAGAACGACCCCCCTCCTCCCCCTCCTCCTTCTCCTCATTATCCTCCTCCTCCTCCTCCTCCTCCTCCTCCTCCTCCTCCTCCTCCTCCTCCTCCTCCTCCTCCTCCTCCTCCTCCTCCTCCTCCTCCTCCTCCTCCTCCTCTCCTCCTCCTCCTCCTCCTCCCTCTTCCTCCTCCTCCCCCCCCTCCTCCTCCCTCCTCCTCCTCCTCCTCCTCCTCCTCCTCCTCCTCCTCCTCCTCCTCCTCCTCTTCCTCCTCCCTCGATCACCCGACCTCTCTTCTTCGGACTCTGTGCTTCTTCTTGCCGCACTCCTCCTCCTCCTCCTCCTCCTCCTCCTCCTCTTCATCATCATCATCATCATCATCATCATCATCATCATCATCATCATCATCATCATCATCATCATTTTCATCATCATCATCATCATCATCATCATCATCATCATCATCATCATCCTTGCTTGGTTGGGGTGTCTCGAGTGAGTTTCAGGGGCCCAGCCTCGAGAGAAGAAGTTTGGGACCAGAGAGGGCCCAAGGTGCACGTTTTGCCTTGCCGATTTCCTCCTAGTTTTGGGCCTCAATGAAGGCGAAGCTTTGAAGCCTGGAGTGAGAGTCGAACGTTCTGAAGAGCAGGACGATGATGAACTGGCGGTCTGCTGAACTGCAACCCAGGGGGGCCCTGTCGCGGACCTCGGGCGGGTCTTCGGCCTTCCTGCCCCTGGTTGACAAAGGTCCACTCTGAAGGGCCCCCTTGGGGCCTTGGCGGACTGCGGTACTTCTTTCCCCTTCATTCCCCCTCTGTGGCGTGCGATCCTCATCCTCCTCCTCCTCCTCCTCCTCCTTGTGGCTGCGCGGACTGCAGTTTGGAGCCACGCGAGGCTTCTCTGGGGTACAGGTTGTGGCAGCGATCGGCGAGTCCCCATCCCCCTCGAATTTCCCCTCGACCGCCCCCCTTTCCGATCCCTTCAAAAAACGCCCCCCCTTTCCCCTCCGCGTCGACCCCCCACTCAGCCGCACAACCCCAGCTTCCCCTGGGCATCAAGCCTGAATCGCTGAGTGGGGGTCGGATCTCGCACTCGCGATCCTGGGCTTTTTTTCTGCTGTGCAAGGGTCGGTGCTGAGGTAGCGATGCGCCAGGGAAGGAGGGGGGACAGAGAGGCAGGGAGGCCGCGAGGCGGGCACGAGGGTGGAGGAAGCAGGAGGCAGAAGCTCGAAAGCGGCAGTTACCAGGAGGGACAGGAGGAGCGAAGGAGGGGGGGGAGGCGGAGCAGCGGTGCAGAATCCGTCTGATCGGTTCGGGCGACGCCCAGGAATGAGATGGTTGTCGTGTTTGCGCAGACTGCGGTCTTCAACCGCGTGCTGCCATTCATGGGCAATCGTTTTCTCGACCTCGCTGGACAGGAGCCACTGCTACGGGGTAAGGTGAGGGTCACTGCCCAGGTCGCTCCATGCCGCGTAATTCCGCTCGACTGGTTTACGCCACGTACGCCAGCCACCTTCGAGGTACTGGCAGCAAGGTAAGCATAGGACGTCCCAGGAGTTCGCCCAGGACCGAAATGAGCACCGCGCAGGGCGCCCGCAGACTTCGATCTCGTGAGGCTCTCGCGGGAGGTGCGGTGGGTCGCCTCGAGTCTCGTGGCCCCCGAGAGCGCCAGGGAGGCCCAGGCTTCATCAGAGGAGCCGCTGGAGGGGTCAAGGGCGTGTTTCGGAGAGGTCCCAGAAGCTCGAGACACAATTCTGGACTCTTGGACGCCGTTCTGCTCGGCAAGGCGCGTGCTGGCACGCGTGGCGCGCTGTAGGAGTTCCACCATCTGGTGTACCATGCTGCGCTGCGTTGTCCGCAGATTGCGGCCTAGCTTTGCAGTAAGCGCCCAGGCTTCTGTGGCATACAGCAGGCCCCGCACCATGCACACTTGCACCAACTCCATGATTCGAAACGCATGCAGGCCAGAGGTTTCTTGAAGGCTTTCCAGGCGGATCAGGGCTCTTCCTCTCGGGGCTAGCCAGGGGCCGTCTCGGAATCGTCTTGGGGCCAGCTTTGGACCGTCTTGGGCCCGATTGGGGTCCCATCGGGCGCATCTTGAAGTCACCGTGCGTGGGCCTGGTTGGGGCCCGGTGGACGCCCCCAGGAGCCACCAGAGGGCGAACAGATTCTGAACCCAAAGTGTTTCATTCGTTATACTGTCCTAGTGTTGTTTGCCTCTGGTGAGCATCCTCCGGCGGCCAGAGGGGGGGGCGTCCATTGGTGGCATTGGAGTCTTGCGGGCCATTCACAAGTTACATCAGCGGTGCAAGAGTCCCGATGTCCATTCAAAAAATTGCAGAACGGATCAGACGTATGTGTTCATATGTATTTCGATTCGCGCGCGCGCGTGCGCGGGACACTGTAACTTTCAGTATACGACTAAGTATGGTGAAAGCCATATGTTTTCAATGCCCCATGTATCTCCAGCATCACCTTATAGGGATGTTTTGAAGACGCCAGTGGTCCGTGCAAGTTTCTG